TATAAACCTTAATGCTATAAATAAAGTGAGAATAAAATAATAATAATAATAGTGACAATACAAGAATATTAGCAATACAAGAATAGATAAGTCACCTTAGGCTGTTACAAAAATCACTTAGGGCTGTTACAAAAGTCACCTAAGACTGTTACAGAAATCACTAGGGTTGTTACAAAAGTCACCTTAGACTGTTACAGAAGTCATCTATGGTTGTTACAGAAGTCATTTTGGACTGTTACAGAAATCACTTAAGGTTATTACAGAAGTTACTTTGGGCTGTTACAGAAATCACCTAAGGCTGTTACAGAACTCACCTTGGGCTGTTACAGAAGTCAACTAAGGCTGTTACAGAAGTCACGTAGTGGTGTTACAGAAGTCACCTTTATAGAATTCACCTAAGGCTATTACAGAAATCACCTAGTACTGTTACGGAAGTCACATTGGGCTGTTACAGAAGTCACCTAAGATTGTTACATAAGTCACATAGGATTGTTACAAAAGTCACTTAGGACTGTCATAGAAAGTCACCTAAAATTGTCACAAAACTCACCTAAGTCAACACAAAAATACTTAAGGTGGTCAAAAGAAAATTAATAATAATAAAAAAATAAAATTAAACTCTTGTAACATAAGCCACTTATAATTAACACAAAATTTATAAACTGTTAGAGCGAATGTCATCTAAAATTCATAAGAAAAAGCTAATTAAAATTAAAATTAATACTCTTCGAATAAAGTTAACCCAAAGAGAAACATCCTGTGGAATAAAATTTATTCATTTATTTAAAAAAAAAAGGATCACCTAAAATCAAGTTATTAAGATAAAATTCTTAGGTCAAAGGTAATCTAACACAATTTTTTGGATAAAGATATTCGAGACTAATTTTTTTGAAAAAAAACCAAAAAAGAGGTTATTATCCCAACAAATTAAAAGACACGATTGTTGTCAAGAAATCATGACTTAGTTCCAAAAAAAAAAAAATTAAGAAACAAGTTATGACTAAGATTAAGATAATATATATATATAAAAGGAGTAATGACAAACTAAAATTTTATGGATAGTCGTTGGGAAAAAAAATAGCCATTCAAAATAGTATATCAGTGGACAAGTCTACAAAATCATCCAACCAATATCACAAAAAATAAATAAATAAAATATAGAATAAACAAATTCATGCTATGAAATTAAGTAAGGATTTTGAGCATAAAAAAAGGAGGCAAATTCATGTGTATAAAATTGACACTGAATAATAATAGTAATCATTATAGACGAAAAAAAAATTGTGGTCAAATCTTACCAAAATAAATTTTAAAAAAAACACTATAAACAATCACCTTAAACAAAAATAATCAATAAGCAAAAGTATGAACATAGTATTAATAGACAAAAATGGGTGTTCCATTAAATGAGGAATTCAAAGTTGGTTGTTGCTCCCATCAGTATGCAAAAATGTAAGGTACGTAAATAAAAAGCTCAACAACAAAAAAAAAAGGGTTTATGTCACACACATGCTAAAGAATAAAATACAACAAAGAAATCAAATAAAGGATAAGCGTCTGAGCTTCACCGATCCATGGGCAAAACCCAGTAAAAAGTCTTGTTCCACTGAATTCTATAGGCATCTTTAGGCGAAGTTCTGCTCGAAGTTCACTAAAGTCTTAAAGCCTTGTAAGTTTATCTCCAAGAAAAAGAACACACCACCAAAGTCCTTCTTCAAGAAATTCAAATAATCTTTAAGCCATTCCAAACGAAGAACGGTGAGGAAATTCATAAAAAACATCATCAAATTAAACAATAGGAGATACATTGATCTAGTTCTCGTTTTTATTAAAGCCACCAATTGAAGAGTGAGAAATACGCCAATCTGGCTCTCATCTTTACCGAATTCATCAAGAATCAAAGAACAGTGCAAATGTGAAACACGCCAAAGAAAGTCAACACTATATTTTTTACTTAAAGTCAATCAAATTGACTATTATAATTTGACCTTATTTTACGTTAATTTACATCACAAATTTTGTCATTACACTCACCGTTAAACATTTGACTCTTCATGAATTTGAGTTAAAAAATAAATATTTTTGGATTTGATGTACGTATAAATTTAGCATTAAAGAAATTTTAAAATTTTTTTTTATTCAAATCTAAATTTAAATTTAAAAAAAATAAAAATTAAAGATGCTCTTACATCGACCCCGACGGTAAAAAGCTTGGCCATGGGATGATCGTGAACAATGTCCGACCAATTTTTTTGGACTGGCCCATAGGTTGAAACCTAGGTCTGCCCCCTAAAAATTTCTAGGCTGAGCCCGTTGGGAGACCGTTTATTACCATTCCTGCGCAAAAAAAAAAAAAACAAAAAAAAGTCCAAACGCTGCCTTATTTGTTCGCCATTTCTTTCCTTTTTTTCTTCGCCCAGGTCCTTGGCCACCATCAAAAAGCTAAAAAGTCATCTCTCTCTCATTTTCCGATCAATATTGGAGCTTACGTACGTACCCAAATCTACAACATCAATCATTGTACCTTCTCTAAAGAGAGAACGAGAGAATAATCGTACGTGTTTCTTCAGCTTGATATCAATTCCAATTGTTGTAGGGCTTGGTCGAATTTGAATAGCAAAGATGGAATCAGAGGATGATATGCACGACGCAGAATCTTTCGATGACGACTTCTATAGCGGCGAGACAGCCGTGGAATCTGATGATGCCAACGCCATGGACTACGAGTTCATGGACAATGACTCCGATGATTCCGACGATGTTCTGTCTCATCGCTACCAGGTATGAATCCAAAAGCCAATGATTCTTTTCGTTCTTTTCAATTTTTATTATAATGATTGTACTTTGAAGATCTATTTTTTTTTAGTTCGATAACAAATGAAGGCTTAGTTTTAGATTGATTGAACTGAACCTGGCTGATTGAGTCTTAATTGATTGATTAACACCTCAACATAAAAGGATGAGCCTGGTCTGTCCAGCAATCTGAGTAAAGTAAATAAGGGTCCCTCGGACGAGAATGCCCATTGTCCGGTAGATAGGATAGGACTACTAGCTGCTAGGATAGGAGCTGTCAATCGACATAAACTCTTCCTAGTTCTCCCCCTAAGGTGAGACAAGAGAACATAATGGCCAACCATTTGAGTGGAAATGTAGTCGGATTTACTATTTTCAGGTTCAAGATATTTGGGTTTATGTTGATTGAATTGAAGCTGGCTGAGTTTTAAGTGGTAAATCAAAATGTGGGATACAGATAATAAGTTGATTATTGGCTCGGCCCTAATAGTTTTTAGATGAATTTGATAGGTAAATGGACCGAGATATATTCTGTTAATAGTTTTATTCCTGTATTAACTATAAAATGTAAACCTGTGAAGTGTTTTTAGCTAATTTTTTTTTGTTTAATAAAGATTGGTTTAGAATGACAGACCCTACATAGTACAGATGATGATTATGGTTTATAGAACAATGGTTTTGTGTTTTGAGGATTAAGATGTGCATGGATGTTTAGAAGCTGACAATTGGCGAATTTTTCTAATAATAGGTGTTGTTTTCTTGGGGCTGCATCATGATCACCGTTGAGATATTTTGATTTCTTTCTTTTAATTGCACATATTTGTCCATGTTCACGTTTGCTTTGATTATAGGATGAAAATTTGGCTTTTTCTTAAATGCATGGAAGTGAATAATTCAATAATTGTCCAATGAAGTGTTGGACATTTGTGAACATGACGTCATGCACCCTTTCAGTTGACGTCTGATACACTTATCATTACCATGAGAGACTGTCCTATGTTTTGGCATATGTGGTTATCAAGCTTATTTTGAATGTAAGAGGACCAGAAACATTAAAGCATCAACCAAAATATCGATTTGAATGTACTCTTTGCAAAACATGAGATTAAACCTTTGAGTACTCAATGTTACATGAGGCTTATAACTCCCATGTATTTGTTATTTTTCCTTTGCCATTTTTGCGTAGGCGAGTGTTGCACCCTCATGAGTTGAACATAACATTAACAAAATAATGTGGATGCCAGATAATTGCTAGGAATCTTCTTTGTGCAAGTTGAAAGGGATGATTGGCTAAATGAAATATTTTAAAGATTTTGGATTTAATGATGATTAAGTGACCAGATTGAATATGAAAGATATGGGGTACTAGGAAATGGATAGATGAGTGGTTTGGGAGGAAAATTAGGGATTTCCTGAACAACCATAGGTTACAAATCTCTTTTCCTCTAAGATTTATTTGATTTGTCAATAAAGGGGCTGTATTAAGTATCTTTGACAAAATGCAGTTTATGAAGATTGAGTTATGTATCTGGGACACCAATAGCTTGCAATTATTTTGATCTTCATATCATTGATCCTACAATATTCTGTAGCTTCACATTATTAACCCTGAAATACCGTTGGATGAGTGTTAAGGATAAGCTTCTAACCCGACAAGTCATGCAGGACAAGAAAAAAGAGTAGAAAATGAATTAAGAGGTACCAAACCCTTGTAAGGATAAGGTTATGAAACGCACTAGTTCTCCATAAAGAAACAATTTTTTTCTTATTAAAATTTTATATCAAAAGAGGTAGTTTTCTAACTAATTCAAAATTACTAAACACTCTCAGTCAAACAAATATTCCCTAAATATTGTAATACTAAAATAGATAGTAAAATTCAATTCTTCAATTTAAGCTTATTCAATCCCTTTTCGATCCTCATCGATTCGCACCAGTTGAAAAACTTTTTATCCGAAAAGTTCTAATAACAAGAGCACTCCAAGAGAATCGACTTCAGTTGACAAAATGGATCCTTCATCTTGATAACATGAGGACAAAATCTCTCTTAAACGAGATAATACTTGGTATCACAATGAGAGAAATCTATATCTTGAATCTCCATAATCTTCACATTTTGTTCCCTACAAAGGATGGTGATAAAGAAAGAATATCTATATCTTGAATCTCCATAAACTTCACATTTTGTTCCCTACAAAGGATGGTGATAAAGAAAGAATAAGAATTGGTGGTGAAAAAGTAGCAACCCTATGTAAAGAAATTACTTTCGAAACTTGTTTAACTTCATCGGTAGCAACACTCTTTAAAATTGTATTATCAAAAATAATCAATGTAGGTTGAGGACAAATTTTGGGCTCATCAACATTGGACAGTTTTTGATTGTCAGACTAGAGGTTGTGGTGTAGGGACCTGCTTAACCATTTGTTGATGACTAATGAATGAAGAGGATAAATCAGTATCTACCTTGTTCAAACACTTGTTATAATGGGTTACATAACTCCAAGGATAGCAACCTGCTTGGTTATACTTTCTTTATTGAGTTCACTGATGCTTGGAGTGAATTCCCTGATTATTGGAGTGAATCTGTTGATGCTTGGGGTAAATATATCTTAGCCTCACATACGTCAATCTTTGCAAGTAATTCGGTTCTGGTCAACATCTTGATGAAAGTATAGATTTGAAAATTTTCTCTTGAACAAGGAGTCACAAAATTGCAGGACCATGAACATAAGGTTGTCGCATGTGATCTAGACCTAACAATCAAGACTCTTTAACAACAGGTAGTCATATTTCTTCTTCAATCAGCCACAACTGATTCGTGTGATTGCAACATCTGTTTTGAATCTTTTGATACATTGGAAGATGATACCAAAGTAGGAAAGGAAGGCTGTTGGATTGGAGTTTTGCTCTCTGGAAGGGAGAGGGGAGAAGAAAGAACTAAGAGGTACCAAACCCTCACAAGGATCATGTTAAGAAACACAATTTCTCCACAAAGAAACAATTTTCTTAATATCACTCTCTAATGAAATAGTGGAGATTACATCAATATTTAAATCTCCTACCAAAATAGGTAGTTTCATAATATCACTCTCTAATGAAATAACAGAGATTACATCAATATTTAAATCTCCTATCAAAATAGGTAGTTTCTTAATTAAAATCTTTTATCAAAATAGGGAGTTTCCTAACTAGACTCTTCTATCAAAATTACTAAACGCTCCTAGTCAAACAAATATTCCAAAAATAATAGAATAATAGAGTATTTAATAAAATTCAATTCTTCAATTTAAGTTTATCCAATCCCTTTTTGTTCCACAATTTATATGTGATGTGATGACATTCTGGTGTCCTTTTCTGGCAAAACACCTTCAAGGTCCTTGATGAATATGCCAGCAGTAGGATATCATTCTTCACTTTAGAATAATAAGAAAAGGTTTTATTTCTCATTTCTATTATAAGATAGCAAGTACAAGTATTTATACTTGATTTACAATTGTTTTGGTCTTAAGTGTATGGATACAAGACTCCTACAATTGGTTTCATACTATATATTTAGCACGGGATCATATCTTTTCCTATTTTATAGCACTGGATTCAGTTTGAAGTAGATCAAGGTTGACTTGATCTTCTATACACCCCCTCAATCTGAATGGCAATTCTCGAACATTGAGATTGCTTTGTAAGAAATTAAACCAAGTGGTGGACAGTGGCTTGGTGAACATATCTGCGAGTTGATCTTTGTTGCACTTTGCTACAAATAAAATGAACATTGATCTTCTTGTTGACAGCTTGACCCCTCATAAAATAAAAATCAACCACTATATGCTTTGTTCTGGCGTGAAAGACAGGATTAGCGGTTAAGTATGTAGCTCCAATGTTGTCAAAGTATAAAATTGGGGGTTGTGGACACTAATATCCAAGTTCAAGCATAACAGACTTCAACCATTGTAACTCTGCTGCTGTGTTAGCTAAGGATTTATACTCAGCCTCAATACTACTTCTAGCAATAGCGTGTTGTTGTTTGCACCTCCAGGAGATGATGTTATTGCCTAAAAACACACAATAAGCACTGTTAAATTGAGATGATTAACATAACACAAGATTAGAAACAATATTAGAGAGAAGGAGAGAGGTTAAAACTTAACCTAGCTATCATACAAACTTGTATTTATATTTAACTCACAATAATAAGAATTACACATACACCCTCTAGTTATTAACAATTTACACATACTACCCTAATATTCTTAACCTTCCCCCTTAAGCTGGACTATATATATCATATAATTCAAACTTGGAACAAATTACTGTAAGATGTGTACGACTCAATGTTTTGGTAAACATATCTGTAAGCTGATCTTCAGATTTCACAAATAGAGTTGTAATCTCTCCAGCTACTATCTTGTCCCGAATAAAGTGATAATTAACCTCAATATGTTTGGTTCTCTCGTGAAACGCTGGATTGACAGCAATATGGATAGTTGCTTGGTTGTCACAGAAAAACTGTAATGAAAGTCGAATTGGAAACCCAATTTCTTGGAAGAAGTGTAGTCGTCAAGTCAATTCACTCGTTGTATGTGCTATTGTCCTATATTCAACTTTAGGACTGGATCTTGCTACCACGGATTGTTTCTTACTTTTTTATAAGACAAGGTTACCTCCTAAGAAAGTATAATAACCAGTGGTTGATCTATAATTAGAAGGAGAGCCAGTCCAATCAGCATCTGAGAAAC